TCAGATATCGCCAATCGTTATCCCGCATTGATGTCTCTAAACCTGTACAGGACGCACCAAGTTGCAAGGAGTCCATAGTGCTACATGCCATACTCCCAGTTAAAGTTACACAGAAGGGCAGTAACAATTCAGTTGTCACGTTCGCGTTTTACGATAATGGTAGTGGCAGCTGTTTTGCAACCGAAAATATCAGGAGACAATTAGGAATAGACGGTGTCAAGGTTATGCTACAACTCACCACCATGCATGGACAGAGTTAAGTGGAAAGCATCATTCTGGATGATCTTATCGTTACGAGCCTAGATGATGAGAATCCCATTGAGTTGCCTCGCTCATACACAAGAGATGAAATCCCAACAGAACATCATCAAATTCCCACACCCAGTCTCATAAATCAGTGGTCACACCTTTCCGAGGTTGCGAAGAAAATCCCTGAGCTTGAGCCTCACCTGGAGATTGGACTACTCATTGGCAGCAATTGCCCGCCCGCCTTAGAACCATTAGAAGTTGTACCTTGTCGAAGCGATGGCCCATTTGCCCTCCGTCTCCACCATGGTTGGACAGTCTGTGGACCTCTCCATATCCGAACTGATCATGACAATGACAAAATAATCACAAACCGAATTACAGTGAGAGAAGTGGAAACGCCGAAGGAAATCATTGCTCCAACGTCATTGCTCAGAATGTTGCAGATGGACTACAACGATCACACCGTAAGCAAAGCACCGGACAAGCGTGGGCCTTCTCAAGAAGACAGAGAGTTTTTAACTATGATTGAAAGGGAGACGAAGGTTGTCAACGGCCCCTACCAAGTTCCTCTTCCATTGCGACATAGTGATATTATCATGCCCAACAATAAGGAGCAAGCTATCAAAAGAGCAAACTGGCAGAAGAAATAGATGTTGAGAGATTCTAAATACCGCTCTGATTGTTTCCTTCGTAAACGATGTCATCGCCAAAGGGTATGCACAAAGAGTTCCAAATGAGTTGCTGATGCCGAGCCAAGGCAAGGTGTGGTATTTACCCCACCATGGGGTCTATCACCCGAAAAAACCAGAGAAAATATGCGTCGTATTCGACTGTAGTTCAAAGTTTCAGGGCGTGTCGCTCAATGACTGTCTGATGCAAGGTCCAGATATGACAAACTCCCTAGTAGGCGTGCTAACCAGATTTCGTGAAGACCCCGTAGCCTTCATGGGGGATGTGGAATCCATGTTCCACCAGGTTACAGTTCCTCCTGAACAGTATGATTACCTTCGTTTCTTATGGTGGCCAGATGGCAATCTAGAAGCCGAGCTACAAGAGTATCGGATGGTTGTACATTTATTTGGAGCGGCCTCGTCGCCAAGTGTCGCTAACTTTGCCCTTAAGCGAACCGCAAGGGATAACGAAGATAAGTACGGTACCTTGGTTGCTGACACGCTGCGAAATAACTTTTATGTGGACGATTGTCTACGTTCCGTAAGCTCGGAAGGTAAAGCAGTCGAGCTGATCGAAGGTCTTCGGCAATCCTGTAAGAAAGGTGGATTCCGCCTCACCAAATTCACTTCCAATAGTCGTGCAGTTTTAGAGTCTATACCAGAGGATGAGCGATCGAAAGAAGTCAGATCAATAACTCTTGACTGTGACAACCTCCCTATCGAGCGTGCCTTAGGGATACAGTGGTGCGTGCAATCAGATTGTTTTGGATTTCGAATCGTCATTAACAGCAAACCGTTTACAAGACGAGGAGTCATGTCCA